GCCTCAGATCCTCCTCTTAGCCTCCCAAGTGCTGGAATTACAGGTGTGCACCACCATGCCTGAATCTCCATCACATTTGTGTTAGGGCCCGCGAGATAGCTCAGTGGACTAAATGCCTGCTTAGGCAAGTGCAGGGACCAGGGTTTGATTCCCGGTGCTGCATGCCATGCTGGTGGTGCACACCTATAATCCCAGCACTGGGGAGGCTGAAAACAGGAGGATCACTACTAGTACAAGCTACATAGTGAGACTCTCTACCAAATACGTAAAAGTAAATGAATAAAATGAAATAAATTTGTGTTAAGAAGCCTGTTGTAATTCTAATAGGTTTTCCTTTATAAGTGATTTGTTGGTTTTTCTGTCTTTAAGATTCTGTTCTTGTGTTGAATTTAGGATTATTATGTGTCATGGAGAGATTTTTTTCTAATTGTGGTTATTTCAGGTTTTTACTTATCCATATGCTAAAATCTTTCCCCCTATTTGTGATATTATTTTAAGAAACAGTTTCTCACGCAAGGGCCTGAGTTCAGCACAAGGGCCTGACTTCAATCTCCGGTTCCACAAAAAAGAAAAGAAAAGAAAAGAAAAGAAAAGAAAAGAAAGAAAAGAAAAGAAAAGAAAAGAAAAGAAAAGAAAAGAAAAGAAAAGAAAAAAGAAAAGAAAAGAAACAGTTTTTCAGTATGTCTTCTGTAGCCCAGCCTGGCCTTAAGTTCGCAACGCTGTGGCCTCAGTTTGAATGCTTACATTGAAGCAGGAAAATAAAGGATCCCTGATGAAGCACCAGGCTTGGGGGAGAAAAGGGCAAACTTATTTGCTGGCATCTTCGCAGGGACTCATGTCTCTTGAGAGTCCCAATCAGGCTCTTGGTTTTACTTCATACCATTCTTATTCTACGGCCGACCTCGCATCAGCAGGCTGTTGGTTCCAGAGGCAGGAAGGGAAGCAGTAGTTGGGAGTGGCAGTAGTCAAGGGGAGCAGGGAGTTCAGGCTCAACTTTCCAAGTGTGTTTCCAAGATTTTATCCCTTGTTAAAATTGTCTTAGTTATTTTCCAATTGCTAGGACAAAACACTGACACCTGCAACATGAAAGAGAGACTTCAGCTGGTTTCAGAGGACTCAGTCCATGCTTCGTTGGCTCCACAACAGAAAGGGCATGGCAGGGGACAAGGAGGAAGAGTAGCCCTCAAGCCATACAGAGAGAAGGCAGACAGAGGAGCCAGGGAAGGGACATATTCCCTCCCAAGCCATGCCCCTCTGTGACCTGGCCCTTTTAACTATATCCTACATCCAAATACAGAACTTTTGGATGACATTTTAGATCTGAACTGTAACCTTCCATTCTTTTTTTTTTTTTAAATATTTATTTATTTATTTTATTTATTACATTTATTTATTGTGTGTGTGTGTGGCCAGCTCAGCCCACCAGGGGGCGCGACTGGCTGGCATGTGGTGCTGGAGGATTGAACCGCGGTCCCTGTGCTTTGCCAAGCTTGTTTCAAGTAGGTGCTTTAGACCACTGAGCCATCTCTCCAGCCCTAACCTCCCATTCTTGCCCCCAATGGATTCATGTTTAATTTGTACAAAACACATTTAGTCAACCTCTAATACTATAGTTGCCAAAGTCTTAAAAGAGTCTCAGTGCTGATGAAAGGGCTAAGTCCAAAGTCTCCTCTGAGAGTCAAGTCAAACTCTTTGCTATAAACCTCAGTAAAAATTAAAAAGAAGGTAAAATACTTCTAAAACTAATGGCAGGGGGTAAGCATTTTCATTCTCAAATGGAAAAATAGAAATCAGACCAGAGCAAGCCGGAAAGCCATCAGGGCAAACATTAAAGCTTGTAGTAACAAGTCCAGCACCAAGGGAAAGACAGTCTGGACTCAAAGGAACTAGGTGGCTCCCTCCGTCTGGCGGGGCTGGTTGAAGCCCACACGGCCTCTCGTGGGCTAGCTCTGTTCAGTGCCTGAAGCCTTCCTCGGTGGGCAACCTCAACTCCCAGCATTTCCAGCTTCCTGGGATCTCTACAGCAGTTTGACTTCTCACAGCTTCCTGCACTCCTCTCTCAGGGGCACACTGCCTCGTCTCGCAGGTCTTCCTTTGAAATCTGGGTAGGCAGCTCCATGACCCCATTAACTCTTGCATTCTGCCTGCCAAAATAATCAGCACCATGTAGATGCCAAAGTCTGCCACCAACTCAAGCAGTAACCTGGTCACCTTGGACAACCCTTGTATGCTAAATACCTGGATGGCTAAACAGTGAAATCACAGGGTCCTGAGTTCAATCCCCAGTACAGCAAAACAAACAAAAGAGTGAAATCAAGCCCAGGGGAGCAAGGTATAAGGCAGTCATCCCCCAGCAGGTGGTATAGGGGCTTTTAATCAAATGGTTTACATTTTTGTATCTTTGTGGCTGTGACAGGTAGGTTGGAGTCTTATTCAAAAAATGTCTTCCTTGAAATCATCTTTTCTATTGTCCTGATGCAAAGTACTTATTTTTGTTTTTAGACAGGATCCTTTAGGCTGGCCTGGAGCTATGTAGCCAAGGGTAGCCTTGACCTTGTGATGATTTTCCTGTATCAGCCTTCCAAGTGCTGTCATTACAGGCATGTGCCACCATCCCTGGCTACAACCACGTTCTGCCATGAACCTATTTAATTTACATATTTACTACAGGGTCTCACTACATAGTGGTCCTGTTTTCAGCTTCCCCAGTGCTGGGATTACAGGCATGTGTCACCACGCCCGGACTTGGTCACAGGCTTAGTGCCCTGGGGGATGGGGGCCAGCGTGGAATGCGAAACTGAGAATTGGAATTGAACCCTGGTCCTAGTACTTGCCGAAGCAGGCATTTAGTTCTGTCTCACCGGCACAAAACTTATCCTTCCAAATCACTGTTTTGGTCTTTTCTCCTGATGGTGCTACTGATGTGGTTAAATGCACCAACAGTGCCCATGCCACAGCCTGAACACTGAACGTTCCTTTGCCAGATCAGTTACTCCCATCAGGCTCCTGCAAACCTGCAGGACATGGTCAATGTCACACATACATTTTACCAGACTGTTGTACATACAGCCTCTAAAATTGTCAGTGGTCTTCCCTGCTGAAACCTTTATAATTTTTTTTTAACCTTTTACTTATTTGGTACATGGTCTTGCTAGAGCTCACTCATACTGATCCTCCTGTCTCAGCCTCCCCAGCTTGCCAGGCAGGCGCTTAGACTGCTGAGCTAATTCCCCAGCACCCTGCTGGCCTTTACGATCTGTATTCTGATCAGTATTCTAATATCCTGAGTTCTGACCACAATCTTGTGTTACTGTTATAGTAGTCTAGGAACTTTCTAGCTAGCATCTTTAAACTTGCCAAATTGTTCCCACAAACCAGTTCCAAAAGTTTCTGAGCCACGTGGTCAGGTATACTGGTAGCAACAAACCACTTCTCTGTTAACAAAGTTATTTCCCTATTGCTGTTACAGTATACTCAGCGACAAGTCAAGGAAGTAAGGTTTATAATGGCTGTTTTCAGAAGATCCAATCTACAGCATAAGTGGAATGGCAGAGTCAGGATTCTTAGAGAAAAAGTGCTCAACATAAGGCAGCCAAAGCACGGGGAGGTAAGACACAACCCCCCAGAGACCTGTCCCTTCTAACCAGGCCCATCTTCCACTCTGTAAGATGTTCCTGGACCTTTACGCTATCCTTAGAGGACCAGAGTCCCACCAAGATGTTACAAGACTAGTATCACTTCAACTTTGACACTTGGTTGATAAAAATCTGCCGTATTTGGGAGTAATGGCTTGGTTTCCCCCAGAACTGGACAAATTCATCCAAATCAACTGGAGAACTCATTGCACAGAACAGCTGAGGGGCCTGCAAGCAAAAGCTTGTCCTTTCCCTTTCCCTCCAAAGCACCAGGCACACACTGGCGTTAGCTGTGCCCTCAAAAAGTGAGTCAAAGCCCAAGGGTCTGTCTCACACAGTTTATTTAACAATAGGTAATAAGAAATCAAATTTAACAGTCTATACAGTGATCCAAAGTTCATATTTATAAGTAATCAACTTTAATTGCATGATTTACAACAGTTGAGGGTTTTTGCTTTCTATTTTCAAGTTTTACAGAAGGTTGTGTAGGGGTGGGTAGGGCAGGATGAGGAGGAAGAAAGCAAGCAAAGAAGAAACCCCAGGGACACTTTGCATGTTAAAATCATCCCACTGGAATCGTTTCTTACCCTCTTTTTCATTTTTTTTTCTTGTTAGATGTAAAAATAAAAAAAAAATCTTTCAAGAAACAGAAACCACAATATATAATACATCAATTTGGCAGCTGCCCCTGTATATTTTGAAAAAAGTCATTTTCTCTCTACATGTACAAATTTTAATACTTGAAGTTTTACGCTCAGACTTATGGAATAGAAAATTTTCTGGAGCACAAAAGTTGACTTGAAGGAGGAAAGGCTTTTTTTTTTTAAAACATTTTTAAAA